TCATTTCAGTTAATGCCTCCTTCATTTCTGACTGTACATCCATCATTTCTGACTGTGCATCCATAATTTCTGACTGGTCCTTTTTATGCTCTTGAGACCCTCACTAAGTTCATTGAGGTTCTCACTAAGTTCATTGAGCATCCTTATAAGCAGTATTTTGAACTCAGCATCTGTTAGGTTGCTTATCTCCATTTCACTTAGTTCTTTTCTTATGGTTTTGTTCTGTTCTTTCATGTGGGACCTGTTTCTTTGTCTCCTCATTTTGGTTGCCTCCCTGTGTTTGTTTTTGAGTATTACTTTATGAGAGGTATGTGGCTAGCTGAGACCAGATGCTCCTTGCTTGAAAGAATTTAGGAAAACTGAAGCAGGATCCAAGACAGGCCAATCCTTTGGTAAAACAACTGGCAACAGCTTGGGTGGGCCTAAAAGTTGGGTGGGGCAGGGCCTCAGGGAATCACCAGGGTGGGGCAACCAGTGTGAGCCAGGTTGCTGTCACCCCAGGGAAGGGCTCACCAAAGGAACAAAAGCCTCTGACAGCATGTTTGTCCCTGAGAAAACCCCCCTCCAGCCTTCACTCCAGTGTCAAACAGCTCAGTTCTTCCCTGTATGTCTCTGGTGCCCCTAGAGCTGCCTCACCCCAAGCTTAGAGGGAATGAGTCTGATTAAGTCCCTGTGCAGGTCCTTTGAAAATCTGCTTGGGGCTCCAGCTGCATCAGCTTCTCTGAGCCTCAGTTCCCACTGGTTTTTCCAGCCAGAAGTTATGGGGACCTCTCTTCCTGGCACTGGAAGCCTGAGCGGGGTGTTTGGTGTGGGACGGGGACCCCTCAGTCCTCAGAGAAGACCTTCCCAGCCATTTCCTCCTGATTTTTATCTTCCACATATGGGTGTGGGACCAGCCCATCGCACCTCTGCCCCTTCTACCAGTCTCCATGTGGCTGCTGCTTTAATTTTGTAGTTGTAGGACTTCCATTCAGCTTGATTTTAGGCAATTTTGAATGATGGTTGTTTTGTAGTTTAGTTGTAACTTTGATGTGGTTGTGGGATGAGACGATACCACATTTACCTACACTATCATCTTGATTGGAAGTCTATGTATTTATTTTTAATTGGTATGGGTAGAAGGAAGAAATATAGCTTTAACTGAATAAACATTTGCTTAAACAAAGTCAAGTCATAGTGAGTGATAAAAAAAACAGAGATGGGCTTTCAATTCTCACCAGCCTGAGTTTAATGCCTAGCTTTCTTGCTTGCCAGGTGTTGGGAACATTACTTATCATTTCCAAATGTGTTTCCTGATATGAAAAGAAAGATAATAATCTATCCTTCAAGGGTGATTATGTGTAAGACTATATAGCATTTAATTCAGTGCCTAGTACATGCTTATCAGCATGAGTACCACAACTACTATTATCAAAATTATTATTAACAATATTGTTTTCAGCCTATCAAATGGGTTTATTTACCTAACTTCTAGCTGACTTTGAAGTATAATATATAAATTTAAGAATGAAACAGAAAATTTCTCATTTAAATCTTCACCTATTTAAGATTAGTGACCTCAATGTAGTTTCTTTTCTGTTAGCAGACTAAATTAGCAACTTCTCCTATGTCCCCAAATGAGACAAGAGGCTTCCTTTTGGTTTCTTCATTTTAGTCTTGGAGGTAAGTTACAAAGGTGAACACTGTAAGGAATCGGGTCACCACAGAAAAGATGAGAAGAGACTGGAGAGCCATACAGTCTAATAACCAGATCAGGCTTTATTGAGTATACTCTGGGCGGGTTCACCGACTCCGGGGGTTGAGTCCTAGAAGCCATGCCCAATGCTGGGGTCTGCGATTTTTATATCTGCCTGATGCTTAAGAGGGTGTGAATCTATAAGTCTGGGGCAAACAGTTCCTGGAACAGGGCAGGGGTTAATCTATAGGCCCAAGACAAATAGTTCCTGAAACAGGGTGGGGGTTAAGGTTGGGTAAGTGTGGTAATGGTTGAGCAAGTTGCCTGGCACCAGTCCCCAGGCTATCGGACATTCTCGACTCTGTGGTATAGGAATAGGGGCGAGGTTGTCTTTCTGGCTACTTCCTGCTTAACAAGGGCAACGTCAGGGGAGGGGGCCCAAGTCGGCGTGGTCCGAGTCTGAGGGACTGGTCAAGGGCTAGTATTGTTGTAGCATTATTTGGTGGACCTTTATTGTCCGTGTGAGCTGTGCAAATTGGTCCTGGATGAAGCGGAGAAAACAGGGGGCAATTAGCAGTATAATTCCTATGATGATGACTGGGCCAAGGAGGGGGAGAGTAAGGAGTACATGGAGGAATTCCACCAGGAGGAGGCGTCTGCTGAGAATTTTTGTTTTTTAAGTTCTGAGCTTAGCTGGTGGAGGGTTTCAATGCGAGTTTCTACCAAACCTGATACGTTGATATAATAGCAACATTCTTCCCCAAGAAATAGACAGGTTCCTCCATGTTCTGCTGTGAGGAGGTCCAGAGCCCTTCGGTTCTGCATAGAAAGTTGGGCTAGAGAGGTTATTTGTCTTTGAAGGGAGGCCAGGGACTCCGCTGAGCTGTAGTTGGTGGGGATGAGGAGGCCCTGGCTTCTGAGTTTAGATATAATGGGATGGAGTCCTAGTCGGTGAGCCTGAGAGATGGAAAACTGAGGGTGATGGGGGTAAGATGAGGGTTTTTTAAAATTTGACAAGGATGGGTGTGTGGTGTGAGGCAATGAGGGCATGTCCGTGTCCCATACCCTAGGGTGGGCTGCTGGTAAGAGCTGGCGGGGTTTGAGGTAGTAGTTTGGGTAGGGCCAGAGAGCAATGCTATTATATGCGGCTGCTGGGGGAGGAAAGAGATGGTTGTATGGAGTTTAGATAAGATGTCTCTCCCTAAGAGTGGAACTGGACAGGCAGGCATTACTAAGAAGGAATGAGAGAATGGATGGCCCTTGAAGATACAATTAAGTGGGGCAGTCCGTCTGGAGGTGGTAGGGAATCCATCAATTCCCATAACCAAAATCTGGGAAGAAAGAGTGAGGCCCGAATGGGAGGGGAGGACAGAGTAGGTAGCCCTTGTGTCTATCAAAAAAGAAATAGATTTACCCGCTACCTGGAGCATGACCCTGGGCTCAGCAAGGGTAACCGGAGTCACAGAACCAGGGCTGCCTCAGTCATCCATGAGCCTCAGTAGCTCCAATGCTGGGAAATTCTGGTTCTCATATCCCCTGCATTGAGGTGCCAAGGACTGAGCCAGGGTTGGGTGGTCTGACTTCCAGTGTCCCATCATGTTGCATTGGGGGCAAGGCTTAGTAGGGAGCCTGGGCTGTGGGCAAGCATTGGCCCAGTGGCCTGCTTTGCCACATTTGAAACAGACGCCCGGAGGTGAGCAGAGTCCCCCCTTAGGGGCCTGGTGTTTTTTCGGGTTCCCTGACGGCCATAGGGCAGCAACCAAGCCTGGCTTTGGAGGCTTACCTTCTGTTGGAACCTGGCCTGGCAGGCCACCTCAGCCATCTCCTCCCAGGCATTAAAAACCTTAAAGGCCATTTTTATGAGGTCTTGGTTGGGAGTTTCAGGGCCCTTCTCAACCTTTTTGAGTTTCTTTCTGATATCAGGGGCAGACTGGGAGATGAAGTGGGAAGCAAAGACAGTGGCCCCATTTGGGGACCCCTGGTCTAGGCAAGTGTATTTGATTAGGGCATCCTGAAGTTGGTTGAGGAAGAGGGCTGGGTTTTCGTCAAGGTGCTGGGTGATTTCTCTCATCTTATCATAGTTCATTACCTTGTTGGAGACTGCGTCCATACCCCAAAGAAGGTATTGGAGCATGAGGTTCTGGCGTGGAATATTAGATCCAGGGCCGACCTGATAGTTTCATGCAGGATTGTCCTGGGGAACTGCTTTGTTGCCGAGGGGGACGGTATTGTCTACTACGTGATCCCTATCTGCCTGCTGTTGAGCCGTCGCAAAGATACATTCGTGTTTTTCAGGGTTTAGGGTGGAGGTACAGATAACCCGAATATCTTGCCAGGTCAGATCATATGTCTGACTCAGATATCGGAATTCCCTGATGTATAGGGAGGCGTCAGCCGAGAAAGAGCCCAGACGTCTTTCGATTTGAGAGAGATCTCGTAGAGAGAAAGAAATATGGACCCCTAACTAAGCCCTCAGCCCCTGCAACCTCATGAAAGGGAGCAAGGACAGTGAGCCCTGTGGGTGAGCGGGACCGGGTGTGGGCAGTGACAGGGGAACTAAGGGGATTATCTTCGGGGGGAGCAGTTGGGGGCGTATCGTTCTTCTGGAGGGGGTCAAATCCGAGGGGAGGCTAAATCGTCTGGGAGGTCATCGGGAAGGGTGTAAGGAGGGGGTTTAATGGAGGAAGCCTTAGGAGGGGTTGGAGCAGTTTGGGCAAGGAGGATTTGAAGGGTGGAGCAATGGGAGCAGAGGTCGGGGTGGAAACGGAGGTCCCAGAAAGCATGAATATTAAGGACTTTAGAATCTTTCCTGGTGCACCGGCAAAAATTGTAGGCCAGGCAACCTGGGACAAGAAGATAAGTTTTTTCTTGTGTAGACTCTGAGAATATCCCAATTTGGAAAAATTTTTGAGGAAATACCTGAGGGGGCTCTTAGGGTCAATTCTGGATTCGGAATTGTCCATTGCAACAGATTAGAGGGGTCTTGAGTGTCGGGAGAACGGACATACAAAAGGCGTCCCTTTTGGATGCTCATCCCCGGATGGACGGGGGTCGTGAAGAAGCCTCAGGCGTCCCTGGAAGCAGCTTCAGACCGGAGAGTTTCTGGAACTCTGGCAGAGAGGTGGGGGCGTCCTGACTTGGCCAAGTTTTGGACAGGAGACCCGAGCCCCGGCTACAGATCAAAACCGCGAAGAAAGTGAAATGATTTACGATTTTGGAGACTGGCTCCGGAGCCAGTGCTGGGTCGAGGGAAATTCCAAATCCAGAAGATGGGTGGCAGTACATAGAGAGAAGGGGGACTCTCGTCCCGACCAAAAAGGCCGGGATGGGTCACAAAACCCTCCTCCCGAGTTTCGGCACCAAATGTAAGGAATTGGGGCGCTGCCGAAAAGATGAGGTGAGACTGGAGAGCCAAACAGCCAAATAACCAGATCAGGCTTTATTGGGTACACTCTGAGCGGGTTCACAGACTCCGGGGGTCGAGTCCTAGAAGCCCACCCAGTGCTTGGGTCTGCGATTTTTTTATCTGCCTGATGTGTAAGAGGGTGTGGGTCTATAAGCTCAGGGCAAACAGTTCCTGGAATAGGGCAGGGGATAATCTATAGGCCCAAGGCAAATAGTTCCTGAAACAGGGCGGGGCTTAAGGTTGGGTAAGCATGGTAATGGTCGAGCAAGTTGCCTGGCGCCAGTCCCCAGGCTATCAGACAAACACTTCAGCATGTAAATGGCCCATTTTACACAGGCAAGCAGGGAATTAACTAGGTAATGCATATCAACTTAATGGTTTAAATAATTTAAACTTCTGAGGGTAAAATTCTCTCTGCTATATTTGAACAGTCCACATTCTTGCTGTAAATGATGAAACTGCAGAGTCAGACTTCTTCAGCAAGGTATTGATGTCTTTTTCAAGATAACTATGGGTGGACTGTAGAAGAATATGCTTTGGTTAGTGGTTTTAATTTGTGAATGTTTACATAAAAATGCTAGTTATCACTAAACTGAGGTTTAAAATAATTTACGTATTACTTTTTCTGTAACAGATAAGATTACATAGTTAGGTTCAGGCAGTTTGAGAATGGCCTTGAGTTAGTCTGTGTCATCAATCAGAATGCAAGCAAACGGTTGGACTAGTTAGAAAAAGCAATGGGCCAGATTCTTTATCTCAGAACTTTTAAGATCTTTATCATCATATCATGTTATCTATTTCATTCCAAGTATTCATGGGGTACAAATAAAGTTGTATCTCTGATTTTTCCAACTAGTTATTTGAAGTCTTGAAGTTTTTAGCAGAAAAATCTGTACTTTCTGGGACATATCTCTCATACTCTCCGCATTGAATTTTTCAAGAACCTAAATGGTTTCTGAGTCAAGGAAAATAACCCTGATCACAAGTCAGGTGGAGAGGTAACAAAAGACATTCTAATTATTCTGTTGTTTTCATTGAGTCTATTGCTGATGAGTTACTATAAAAATTGATCTTGTAGTTATTGTTACAATGAGCCAGAGAGACAACCAGAGATGCACAGCTGAATTGTAAATGAAAGGAGCAGTTTATTCACTGGCAGGCTGTGGGGACATAATCTTCCCAAATCACAACCCTGAGCCTTCTTTGCTGCCTGCTTATAAAGACTCAAACTACATTCTCTTCATGCTGTTAAGGGAAGAACAGATATGAGAGAAGCTGTTACAGAGGTCAGGGCAAGGGAGGAACTGATAGGAGAGGAAGGAAGAAACTGGTACATGAGGAGGCAAGAGGAGCTGTTACAGAGGTCAGGGTAAGGCCATCATTAATCCCCTTATCTTTATGGTTCCTCTGGTGTCAGTCCCAGGTTTTTGAAACCTCTCTGGTGTGTATGTGCCAGAACAATTGGTCAGAATGGAGTCAAGTAGCCTAGTTCATTATGATAGACTTTGCTACCAGGTTGCCTGGGCTGATCCAGATTGCTGAGTTTTTATGTTGATTTACAGTTTTCATGTTGATTTACACTTGGACTTGAAAACACCTTTTTTAGTTTAGATACATATACTTGTATGCTCAGCCACTATTACTTTTTTTTTTTCTTTTTTCAATCCTCACCCGAGGATATTTTTCCATTTATCATTAGATAAAGAGAGAGGGAGAGAGAAACACATATGGCCAGTGAGCATAAACTGACTGCTTTCTGCATGACCAGACCAGGGCTGGGAACAAACCACAACCAAGGTACATGTCCTTGACCAGAATTGAACCCGTGACTCATTGGTTGCAGGCCAATGCTCTTACCACTGAGCCAAGCCAGCCAGGGCTCAGCCACTATTTCAATTGCCAGTACTCTGTTCTGGCAGCCGGGCCTCCTAGCTTTATCCACCCACAGATTTTTCTCCCACACTGGAAAACCTGTGTGGAGCTCACATATTAGCCCAGACATTTTGTGGGTGAGATGTGCTTTGAGCAACTTGTTTGTGTCTTTTTTTCTGTTAGCAGCTGTTAGCTTAGAATATCAAGGTGTCAAGAAATTGAAATAATTCTGCAGAAAAAAGTTAGATTTTTCTTTCTTCTTTCTTACCAGATGTGTACCCCAAATCCACTTTATATTTTGTAGAGCATTTATATTTATATTCTTTGAGTGCCCTTGGCCAGTGAGCATCTGTGCACAGGAACAGTGATGTCAGCAGCTGAGGCAGCGCTGCTTGGTAACCAACATTCCGAGCCTAGAGATTCTAAACTGTTGAACTGCCCTGCTGAGATGTTGTGGTGGTGGAGTGGTTGGCTTATCTACAGAGTGCTGTGCTCAAGAGGCATAAAAAGCAAAAAGCAGAGGGGAAGGTGAGGCTTCTCTGAAGCCCCTAAGCCTCTGCCATGAAGAAGATATTTACTTGGAGGAGGCAGGAGTCCTCATCCTCAGGCTCCTCCACCAGTATAGAGAGGAGCAGAGTTGGAGACAGAGAGCTCGGATACCACATCCGAAGGAAGGATCTAGGGAAGATCCACAAGGCTGCCACTGAGGGCAACATAAAAAAAATAAAGCAGATTCTGTTGCCCAGGAGAAATGATGTGAATTACAGAGACAAGAAGAACAGGTAATAGGGCCCTGGAGGCCTGCGGCCCTGGGTCAGCCTGGAGGGAGTGGGGGGACCTGGGAAACATGCTCACCTGCCTGGGCTCAGCCGGGTGGAGCTCAGCCTTCCTTCAGGCAGTCTTTCCTGCAGTGGCCCAGAAGCACCCTGTGCTGGAGACCTCAGGTGGTATCTAGCACACAGGCCAACTTTATGAGCAGCCAAAACAGAAACTTAGGGACCCACTCATTACTCCCTGATAGAACATCTTTACTGATCATTTTAAAGTGATGTAACTAAATATCAATAGTAAAAACAAAATTAAATATATACAGCTTTTTATTTTTGATATTCAGTTGTTTTTTTAATCCTCACCTGAGGATATTTTTCTATTTCTCTTCAGATAGAGTAGGAAAGAGGGTTGGAGAGAGAGAGAAAGAGAGAGAGAGAGACATCAACATGAGAGGGACACGTCAACTAGTTGCCTTCCACATGACTGTGACCAGGGCCAAAGTCAAACTGCAGCCAAGGTACATGCCCTTGACTGGAGTCAAACCGGTGACTCTGCTCCACAGGGCCAATGCTCTAACTGCTGAGCCAAACTGGCCAGGGCTTGATGTACACCTTTTACACTGTAATGTTATATACTATAGGAAAGTGCATAATGAGAGAAATAATTCTCATCACAGATCAATTTCTGGACTAAAATTTCTTTGGATAAAATCCAATAATCACTTTATATCATTATACACTGATGTACATATATTCTTTTTTTTTTTTTTTTCCAAATCTTTATTGTTGGATGTAAAATGTATTACAGATGTTCCACATTTTTCCCCCATTGACCCCCTCCGCCCCACTCCCGCCCCCCTCCCAACTTTTCCCACACTATTGTCTGTGTCCATTGGTTATGCATATACAGTGATACCTCGGTTCTCGAACGCCTCGGATTTCGACCAAATCGGTATTCGACCAGGAGATTCGAGAAACTTTTGTCTTGGAATCCGAACAAATATTTGGAACTCGAACTTCCGAGATGAGCCGAGTTGAGCCGAATGGCGTTCATTCGGCCCAGCGTGCCTTGCTTGCGTCATCAGTGTGAGTGCAGAGAGAGAGTCACGCTTTGTGAAGAGAGTCACGCTTTACACTGAATTTAACCCTTAGACATACTGTACACTTTTATTTCTTGTTGAGACTTATGTTTTTCTACATATTATATACAAATTAGGCCAGTAAATAGGCATTTTCTGGGGCTTGGAACGAATTAATCCAGTTTCCATTATTTCATATTGGGTTTCATTGCTTCGGTTCTCGAACAATTTGGTTCTCGACCGTTTTCCTGGAACGAATTATGTTCGAGAACCGAGGTATCACTGTAAGTTCTTTGGTTTATTTCTTCCCACCCCCCCAACCCCTTTCCCTTTGAGGTTTGTCAGTCTAGCAATGAATTTGTGCTTCTTAATCCCTTCACCTTTTTCACCCATTCCCCCAACCCCCTTCCCAACTGGCAACCAACACAATGTTCTCTGTATCTATGAGAATGTTTCTGTTCTTCCTGTTCATTTTGTTTGTAGATGCCATTGTTGATAGATATGTATTCATTGCCATTTTGTTTGTTCATACATTTTCTCTTTTTCTTCAAAAAGACCCTTCATCATTTCATATAATAACGGTTTGGTAGTGATGAACTCCTTTAACTTTTTCTTGTCTGCTAAAGTTTTTATATGTCCATCAATTCTAAATGACAGCTTTGCAGGATAGAGTAATTTTGGTTGTAGGTTCTTGGTTTTCATCGCTCTGAATATTTCTTGCCACTCCCTTCTCGCCTGCAAAGTTTCTTTTGAGAAATCAGCTGACAGCCTTATGGGTACTCCCTTGTAGGTAATTATCTGCTTTTCTCTTGCTGCTTTTAATATTCTCTCTTTGTCTTGAACCTTTTGCATTTTGATGATGATGTGTCTTGGTGTGTGCCTCTTGGGGTTCATCTTGTTTGGGACTCTCTGTGCTTCCTGGACTTGTATGTCTATTTCCTTCACCAAGTTAGGAACGTTTTCTGCCATTATTGTTTCAAACAGGTTTTCGATTTCTTGTTCTCACTCTTCTCCTTCGGGCACCCCCAAGATGCGAATGTTGGCGCGCTTGAAGTTGTTCCAGAGGCTCCTTACAGTATCCTCATTTTTTTGGATTTTTTTTTTCTTTTTGCTGTTCTGATTGGGGATTTTTTGCTTCCTTATATTCCAAATCGATGGTTTGCTCCTTGGATTTAAATACTCTATTATTGAAGCTGTGTAAATTATTCTTTATTTCAGTTAATGCCTCCTTTAATTCTAGCTGTGTATCCATGATTTCTAACTGGTCCTTTTTTATGCTCTTGAGGCCCTCCCTAAGTTCACTGAGGTTCTCACTAAGTTCATTGAGCATCCTTATAAGCAGTATTTTGAACTCAGTATCTGTTAGGTTGCTTATCTCCCTTTCACTTAGTTCTTTTATTGGGGTTTTGTTCTGTTCTTTCATTTGGGACCTGTTTCTTTGCATCCTCATTTTGGCTGCCTCCCTGTGTTTGTTTCTGTGTATTACTTAATGAGAGGTATGGGGCTTGCTGAGACCCGGTGCTGCTCGTTTGAAAGAATTTAGGAAAAACCTGAAGCAGGATCCAAGACCGGCCAATCCTATGGTTAAGCAAGTGGCAACAGCTTGGGTGGGCTTGAAAGTTGGGTGGGGCGGGGCTGGGCTTCAGGGAGTCAGCAGGGCGGGGCTACCAGTGTGAGCCAGGTTGCTGGAGTCCCAGATATGGCTTCTGTCTGCCGCCCCCGGGAAGGGCTCACCAAAGGAACAAAGGCCTCTGACAGCACGTTTGTCCCCGAGGACGCCCCCTCTCCAGCACTCGCTCCAGTGCCAAACAGCTCAGTTCTTCCCTGTATGTCTCTGGCACCCATCGAGCTGCCTCCCCTCCGAGCTTAGAGGGAGAGAGTCCGATAAGTCCGTGCGCGGGCCCTTTAAGGAGCTGCCTGGGGCTCCAGCCGCCTCAGCTTCCCTGAGCCTCAGTTCCCGCTGGTTTTTCCAGCCTGAAGTTATGGGGACTTCTCTTCCTGGCACTGGAACCCTGAGCGGGGCACCTGGTGTGGGACGGGGACCCCTCAGTCCTCAGGAAGGACCTTCCCAGCTGCGGGAGCCTCCTGATTTTTATCCACCATGCTTGGGTGTGGGACCAGCCCGTCTCACCGCCGCCCAACGCCGCTCGCTGCTTGTCCTACCGGTCTGGATATAGCTGCTTTTTTTTTCTTAGTTCCGTAGTTGTACGACTTTCATTCAGCTTGATTTCAGGCAGTTTTGAATGATGGTTGTTCTGTAGTTTAGTTGTAACTTTGATGTGGTTGTGGGAGGATGCGATACCGCGTTTACCTACCTGCCATCTTGACCGGAAGTTCTACATATGTTCTTTACTGAGGGACCTCAGAGAGGAACTTTGAAGTGGGAAAATGGCTGTGGTCTTGAACAGGAAGATTCATTTTCTTAAAGACTCATTTTCTTCTTATAATGATTTGTGTTATAAACCAAATAAAATACAGCTTAATATTTTGACTTACACATGTAATATTTTATTGTTGTTATGAAATGAAGAACATTTTTGTATAGTAAAAAAAAGGCTTACCCTTCTAAATATCAACATGTTCTATAAATTTCCACAAAGTATTTCTTTACTAAGCTGAAAAGACCGATAAACGATTGGAACAGAAAAGATAATGAACAAACACCTAAATATGTGTAAGACATTAGAACTGGATACTGGTGATATTTCATGTTTGTAGGAAAGGTGAATTACACACAAGTGGTGGAGAAATACCTGTTCAGTGTTTGGAGAAAACTAGCTATATTTCTATCCTCCCACAGATTAAAGGTTTAAATATACAAAATGAGAAAAATACCAGAAGAAAACACAAATGTCTATTTATACTTTTTTCAATGTTATCATTGACTTCAAAAGCAAGATTTCTGGAGGTAAATTGAGAAATATAAAAAATAAAAACCTTCTCTCTATCAGAAAATATTATTAAGAAAATGTACTTGTAAAATATTTTCACTGTAGCCCTGGCCATTTTGGCTCAGCGGTTAGAGCATTGGCCCACCAACTGGAGAGTCATAAGTTTGCTTCCTGCTAAGTTCATGTACCTCAGGTGCAGTTTGTCCCTGGTCTGGTTAAGGTCAAGTGGGTGGCAACCACTCAATGTGTCTCTCTCACATCAATGTTTCTCTCTCTCTCTCTCTTTGTCCCGCCCTCCCTTTCACTCTGTCTGAAGAGATGTGCAAAAATGTCCTCGAGTGAGGATAAAACAAACAAACAAACAAAAAAACAAAAACAAAATTAATGCCTGCTGGAAGGGCTCAGCAGTTGAACATCGACCTATGCACTGAAAGGTCACTGGTTTGATTCTGGTCAGGGCACATGCCAAGGTTGTGGGCCAAATCACCAGCGGGGGGCTGGCAGAAGGTGGCCAATGTTCTCTCTCATCAATGTTTTCATCTCTCGATCCCTCTCTCTTCCTCTCACTTTCAAATCAATAAAGAAAAAAAAAAGAGCAAATATAAGTGATTTATTACTATTGCAAAAGTGTCACTTTACCTTATAAAAGTTTTCTCTAAACAAATATTGAACTTTTTCACTATGTTTACTCATTCTTTCATCCATTTATACATGAAATATAACCTGAATGGCTATTATGTAGCAGACATATTCTACTTAGGACCTTTTCAATCAATATTTCAGGCCTTTTTCATTCTTAAAATCTTCATGTTGCCCAGTATGGGAAAATGAGAAATTTAAAATGGAAGTATTAGAACCTCACCACAGTTAAAGCTTTTTCTCCTTCAAACAAAAATATTTCTAAAGGTGGAAAATAATAAAAGATAACCTTTATGCGCCCTTTTGAAAATGTATAATAGTATTAAATACTAATTTTGATCATTGGAAATATCTGATTTTCATATAATCTAGGAATCTAAATATTAAGCACAATGAGCCATCCCTATTTATTTGAATCCTGAGTTTTCTTTGGCTTAAAGTTTCTTGAAAATTAACTAACCCTAGGGCACTGCTCATGGCTAAGATGACTGCTGTCCGTGGGCTCCCAGCCCCACTATCAGGCCTCCACAATCTTACCAGGATTGATTCAGTGTCCTTGGTTATATGATCCTTGCAAGCTGCTTTTCGGTAGCTTTTCCCTGAGGATTTGTCTTAATTTTAATTTTAATTTTAATTCCAGTTTGTCCTGAGAGATGGTCTGTGTAGCTTCCATTCACTCTGCTGCCATTTTGGACCCCATTTTGTTTATGAAGACATTGAGGCACAGGAAGGCTAAGTAATAGCTAACGCATGACAGAGTTAAAATAGGATCAGACCCAAGTTGAGCTGAAAACCCAGGCCAGGCTTTCTCTATTCAAATAGGCTGTTCCTTTATTAATGTGACAGTAACAAGAACTAATAAATATTGTACTGTTTACAGGAGGAAACTAAATATTTGCTTGGAAAGCATGGAGATCACATTTAATGTTTAGAATTACATAAATAATTGAATGTTTTGAGATCGAAGTTCTTAAAGAGGCCTCTCCCTTTCGCAGGACTGCTCTACATCTGGCCTGTGTCTTTGGCCATCCGGCAGTGGTCAGTCTCCTTGCGGACAGCAAATGCCTGCTGGACCTTTGTGACCTTGATAACAGAACACCTCTAATTAAGGTATGCAGTAGCCAATTATGTCAAGATGAGATAAATTTGATTTAATTACTAAAAATATGAATGAGTATATCTCATTCAACTCTAAGTAATTGGTGAAACTTGTGGAATGCTTACTTTGAATCTTAGAATTGACATTCTGTTTCTTGGCATGATACTGACAGGCGGTGCAGTGCCAGCAGGAGGAGTGCGTGGCTGCTCTGCTGGACCGTGGGGCTAACCCAGACATCAGGGACATTGACGGCAACAGCGCTCTGCACCATGCTGTCCTTGGTGAAAGCGTAGCTATACTTGCAAAGCTACTATTGAGCAATGCGAATATGGAAGTAAGAAATAAGGTATAGATCAAGCAATTTATTTACAAAATACTGGAAATACATGTTTTTATTTTAACCACAAGCATGTTCTTTCTCATTTTATATATATATACTGAATACAATATATCAGGCCCTGTCACCATGGAAACAGCTCCAAAGCCAAGTCAGGGAGGGTTGGAGAACTGTGGTGACCATGTGAAGGGCAGAGCCCTGTCCCCCAGCTACCCTTCCACCCCAGGAGGAAGAACTTCCTCTTGGTGCCTGGGAGTGGGTGATAGGCTCAGAGCCCCAAAGTACTGAAGGCCTGGGGGAGTTTAGTGATGGTGTTGGCTGGCTACTGTGCAGGCAGGGGCTTAGAAACTGGGCACTGCAGGGCATGGTGGGAGGAGGAGACCCAGGCCCCAGCAGGGGGAGCTGGGTGAGCACAAATAGAAAGGAAAAGCAGCAGTCCAGACAATAAGGACAGTACCCCACCCCACAAGAGACGCTATGATAGGAACAAAGATTCTTTGAACCAGTCCTGTAAATGTTTGAAGTGAGTTTTGGAGAATAGTGTTGCAATTGATCTGTTGAAGGGGAAGAGGAGGGCATTGTAAAAGAAGGAGCAAAAAAATAAAATGAAATAAAAAAAAAAGAAAGAAAGGAGCAGCCAGTGGCAGCTTTGTATTTACTTTCTATATTATACGTTTAACTTCTAAGGATCTCTTACAAGTGTTAAAATTTAGTTTGGATATATGTAACTGTATTAATTACAAATTGTTTTTGCTGCTTCACAGGACAATCTCACACCACTTTTACTTGCTGAAAGTGAACAGAAAGAGCAAATGATGGCACTTCTAGTAAAGAAAGGCAGAGAATTTGAAAACATGAAAAGGACGAACAGGTGCACTTGTTTGCCCCCCCTCCCTTTTTTTTTCAACCTTAGTATTGACCTAGAGTGGTAACAATCATTCAAGTCAGAAATATTGAATTAATAAGAAGAGGGTAGTGAAAAATATCAACACATCACCAGTTAAGTAGAAAAGCAATTATTCTGAATGGGCAACTGGAAGAACAGTTTGCTGAAGGATTTGTATTTCTTTATAAAATTGACTGATATCATTTGCAATATGGTCTTTTTGGTCATGTGATTTTATATTTGCTGGAGGGATTTTATATTCATTTTATATAGAATAGACTCTGTTAATTTATGATATAATAGATGACTTACTCTTTCTTATAGTTTTTTAACTTTTACTTGGTACATAGTTTTTTCCTTAAAAGATGCATGTTAAATACAAGTTGATTTTGTCTTTTGGATCACTTTTGCTTTAAATTACTTTCTTTCATGAGTACTGATGTTATTAGGTTATTCCTAAGTGGCTGTGAATAACTGCTATGAGATAATGGAGCTCATAAGTTCTTTGAATGTGTTGTTGCTTTTCTGTTTGTTTGTTTGTTTGTTTGTTTTGTTAATCTTCACTCGAGGATATTTTTCCATTGATGTTTTAGATAGAGTGGAAGTTGAGGGGGGCGAGAAAGAGAGAAACATCGATGTGAGAGAGACACATCAACATTTGCCTACTGCATGACCCTGACCTGGGCTGTGGTAGGCTTATCAGTTGTTATTCCTATTTCATGTATTGTATATTTTCATGTGTTCTTTTCAATTGGTATGGGTAGAAGGAAGAAATATAACTTTAACTGATTAAATATTTTCTATAATGAAGACAAGTTATAGGTAGTTGATAAATAAATGTGGCTTTTAACTCACATGAGACTGGGTTTAATGCCTAGCTTTCTGCTTGCCAGGTGTGTGACCTTGGGAATATTATTTATCATTTCCAAATGTGTTTTCTGATATGAAAGGGAAGATAATCTATCCTTCAAGGGTGATTATGTGTAAGACTATCTAGCATTTAACTTAGTGCCTAGCACATGCTTATCAGCATGAGTACCACAACTACTATTATCATAATGATTATCAACATCATTGTTTTAAGCCGGCCAAATAGATTGTACTTAACCTAACTTCTAGCTGACTTTAAAGTACAATATGTTAGACTAAGAATAACAGAACAAATTCTTCATTTAAATCCTCACCTAGTTCAGAGTTAAAGTCACTTCAGATTAGTGACTTCTGCATAGTCTTTATCTGTTAGAGGACTTTAAATTAGCAACTTCTATGTAATACCCAAGTGGGAGAAGAGGCTTACTTTTAGTCCATTCATTTTAGCCTTGGGGGTAATTTACACAGGTGAACACTTCAGCATGCAAATGGCAAATTCTACACAGACAAACTGGATATTAACTTGGTATATCAAATTAGCAGATTAAATAGCTTAGAGTTCTGATGGTAAAATTCTGTCTGTGCTATATATGAACAGCTGTCACGCTTGCTGTAAATGATAAGACCACAAATAGTGTCAGACTTCTTCAGCAAGGTACTGATGTCTTTTTCAAGATAACTGTGGGTGGACTGCAAAAGAATATTCATTTGTTAGTGGTTTTAATTTGTAAGCATTTATATTAAAATGTTAGTTATCACTAAACTGCGGTGTAAAACAATTTAATTATTACTTCTTATTTAACAGATGAGATTTCATAGTCTGGGTCAGGCAGTTTGGATTGGCAGTGAATTAGTCTGTGTCATAAACCAGAAATCAAGCAAGGGCTAGTTAGAAGTAGCAATGGGCCTGATTCTTTATCTCAGAGCTTTTAAGGTCTTTATCATCGAGGATTCCAACTTTATCCATTTCATTCCAAGCACAACCCCTATGCATGGGGTACAAATAAAGTTCTATATCTGATTTTTCTAACTAGTTATTTGGGATCTTGAGGTCTTCAATTAAGCAGGAAAATCTGTACTTGCTGGGAGCTATCTCCTATACTCTCCCACCCTTGAATTTTTTAAGAACTTAAAGGGTTCCCTGAGTCCAAGGGAGACAATCCTCTTTCACAAGTCAGATGGAGTGGTAAAAAAAGACATTCTAAATAAGCTTTGAGCATCTTGTTTGGGGTTTTTGGCTAGCAGGTGTTAGTTAGAACCATTCTAAGCTGTCAGAAAGATTCCAATAATGCTGCAGGTAAAGATCAGACTTCTCTGTTTGTTGTTGTTGTTGTTGTTGTTGTTTGTTGCCAGATCTGTACCCCAAGGCAACTGATTCAGAGATAGTGATTTAATTGATTTATGATGCTATATTTAACAAGTGGTTGAACCTCTATTTGACCATCAACCTGCTTGGCTCCCAAATGCATTCTGTTGTCCCTCAACATACACTGATAAGTTCCTGTGTGGCAATGGAATTGAGATAGAGATGCAAATCAGATCAACTGAGAAAGTCAATTCTACTTGTGTGTTGACTCTGATTTAGAGTTTTCCTAGGAAGCCCAGTTAGTCCAAGCATTTGTCTTCATATACTTGACTATTGCAGTGACAAAAATAATGCCTTGTTTTTTCCATCAAAGATTTTAGGCCACAGCCCAGTTAGCTATGGCCATGGAACCCAAGGTTTTATCTAAGCAAGACCTAGTCATACAAGTGTTTCTTAGGTATAATGACATTTACTTTTCAATACTTATCTATAAGTAAAGAATATCTCTGTATAGGCCATTTAATGTTAAATAAATTCAGCATCTGTTTAGAGGATATTGCTAATTGATTTCTCAATAACTGACTTTCTAGTCTGGTTTTCCTTTCAGGCTAGTACCTTTGCCTAATTGTATTGTGTTGTTGTTTTGTTTTGTATTTCCTAGAGTCCTTTTTCCATCTTCCATGACTTTTCTAAATTTTTTTTTTAATCCTCTTTTCTCTCTTCATTTTTTTTTGGTGTTTCTCTCATTGTGCTATTTTTTCCACTTCTTCCAGCTGTGTATTCTTTCCATATTTATATAGACAGAATCAGAGGCACATAGAATTTAACAGTTTGAGGAATCTTAGCAATTAATTAATCAAAATACTCTCTAGTACTTCAACCTATGTTTAACATCCTGGCCCAATCAGTAGTTGTTCACATGAAGAATCTGAAAATCAAATTAAAGTGATTCGTTTGGATATAGTAAGTGGTGGAAAGGAGATGTAAACTCAGGTTTGAAAGCCTAATGCTTTTCCTTTTTGATCACCTTGTGTGTGAGTGTTTTAATAATAGAAAAATGAGGAGTGGGTCACATGAACACAGTGGGGGAGATAAGAATGGATTTAGCAGGGGAATCCTAAAGTTTTAAGAGGAATAACACTGATTTGGGATAGAAATGAGAGTTATAGAAAAAGATCAGAATATTGGGGCTTATGGCAAGTTAAAAATAAATTCTAAGAAGGAAGACCACAGGATGTTGGGAGCTGTCTGAAAAGGTAGATTAAAATTAGGATCTCAAGAAAGTACTGAAGAGGTTTCTGCTTTTTTGTTTATTTGTTAAATTGGAAAAACTAGCAAACTTCTAAGTTTCTGTAGAAAGATGTTTAAAAAATTGAGCCACTGGAAAGATTTTTTTTATCAGAAACAGGTCTGTGGTATCATCTATCTGAACCACAATTTACAGACTAGGGCTTAGATCTTCTCGAGTCCTAGGGGACTGAAGATTGCTAAACTACATAGATCTATGGCCCAATGCAGGTAGCTCCTCAACTCTACCTCTTTTCCCAGTTAGGTGATGACCTTCCATGTATAGGAGGCACTGAGCTGTCAAATTAGTGTGGGAGTTGGATAGCTGGTAACATGCCTATTTCAGAGTGGATGACTGAGACTTCATGTAGCTTGTTTTTCAGAAGCAGGAAAATAGAGAGTTTCTACTCTTGGTCATTCGAACACATCCTTGTTTCAGGAGTCTGTGTCTTTATAAGCTGAAGATTTACTGGTAGGGGACTGATCTGGAAGTGGGATTGCAAACAGCATATACATTTGTTCTTTGATGTTTGAACATTTAACTTTCAATCATTTCAGGCAACTTTCTGTATAGCTTTAGGGCAAAAGGAAGACATTGATTCACCTTAGTAAGAGGTTTTCATGCTAAAGGACCAGACTGCCATAGATTAGTTTTTGAAGCAGGGACAGATGATAGGCAAAGGACAGTGTCTCTTTCTCCCTTGATTTATTTAGATGATAAGAGTTGTTTCAGTTCAAGTAACAAATGTTATGTCTGCCATTAATTGGATTTTCACTTCAGCCTTTAGGAATTTTTGAGAAAACTAGTTAATTTCAAGCTGTGCAAATATTTTGGCTGTCACTTTCTCGTAGCATCTTAAAGTGTGTTTTCATTAAATAGTTCACAGGTTGGGAGTAGAAGCAGAAATAGATAACTAAAAGTTTTTATTAAACAGCCCAAATTTTAATTATATCAGGAAATTTTATTTAATATGCAGTTGGTTGATGTTTCGATTAAATGTTTTGTTGCTTTATTAAAGAAATAAACTCACTCATTTTTGTTACTATTTTTACTTTAAAGGCATACATCAAATGACAAAGGTTTCAAGGTAAAGCACTCCCTTGTGAAATTAATTTTCCTGTTCTTAATTTAGTTTTGTGTAGCACTTACTCTTAAAATTTAGTACTGGTCTACCTGTCATTGCTTTGTTTGTAACAGAAAATATCTATTTTTGTTATTGTATAATCTCTTTTATATGAAAATGTGAGAATAAGTGAATCTGTAGAGATACATATCAGATTAGTAGATGCCAGAAACTGGTAGAAGGAAGAAGGAATGACTTTATCATGAGAATGGGGTTGCCTTTTAGGGTGATGGAACGTTTTGGAACTAGAGACAGATGATCATTACACAGTATTATAAATGTACCAAATGCTACTGAATTTTTTAGTTTAAAATGATTAATCTTATGTTGGTGAACTGTACTCACTAAAAAAAAAAAAAAAAAAAAAAAAAGAACACTCATAATAATCAATACATAAAATGATCAAATAAAGATCATGGTACACATTTTAAGATAATCCAATTGGGTTCATTTAAAACATGTCATCTGGTGAAAGTTTAGATGGTTAATTTGAGATTTATCTGGTTTCTTGAGGTAGGCTTATATTGCCATGAGTTTTCCTCTTAAAACTGCTTTTGCTGTGTTTCATACATTTATTAAGTTGTCATGTTCTCATTTTCATTTCTCTCAAGATGTCTTTTGATTTTTTCTTGATCTTACTGTTAACTCACTCATTATTTAGTAGCATGTTATTTAGTCTCCATGCGTTTGTGTTTTTTTCAGGTATTTTTTGTCATTGATTTCTAGTTTAATACCATTGTTGTTGGAGAAGATATGTGAAATTATTTAAGTTTGTAAATTTATTCAGGTTTGTGTTATGGCCTAACATGTGGTCTATCCTGGAAAATGTTCTATATACACTTAAAAATATGTGTATCCTGCAGTTTTGGGGTATAATGCTTTGAAAATACCAAATAAATTCTCTGAAATGCTCTGAAATATCAAATTTTATACATTTTATCACAAAATATCACATTTTACCAGGTATTAAACGTATTGAAGTTTATTGTTTTTAATTTTTTTTTGGAAGATTAATCCATTGATGTCAATGTGGTAGTAAAATCTTTTATTATGATTGTTTTAATATTTGCCTTATATATTGGGGCTCCTATGTTGGGTGAATAAATGTTTACAGGGTTATTTTCTCTTGTTGGATTGATCCTAATATCACTATGTAATGACATTCTTTTTCTCTTGTTTTAAAATTCCTTTGTCTTATATAAATATTGCTATACTGGCTTTGTTTGTTTGTTTGCATATGCATGAAATACTATTTTTTATTGCTTTTCTTTTCATCTGTGTGTATTTTTCATTCTGAGATGGTCTTTTGTACACAGCACATGTAGAGGTCTTATTTTTTTATCCATTCATCTACCTATGTCTTTTAATTGGATGGTTTAGACATTTACTTGTTTTATTTAAATCCTCCCCCAAGTATATATATTTTTCCATATATATTCAGATAGAGTGGGAGGGATAGAAACAGAGAGAAACATCAATGTAAGAGAAACACACTGACTGGTTGCTTCCTGCAGGACCCAATCAGGGCCAGAAACCAAACCTCAACCAAGGTAGATGCCCTTGACTAGAATTGAACTTGTCACTCTTTGGGGGCTGATGCTCTAATCACTGAGCAAAACCAGCAAGGACATAAGCCATTTACTTTTAAAGTGATTATTGATTGGTACACACTTATGCCATTTTATATTTTATGATTAAGTTTTCTGTCTCCCACTTTTTCTTTTTCTATCTATAAAAGTCCCTTTAACATTTATTGTAATATGTGTTTGTTGGTAATTGAACTCCTTTAGCTTGCCTTTCTGATGGCCCTGCTGGGTAGAGTAGTTTTGATTATAGGCTTTTTATTTTTTATTTTTTTATCACTTTAGATATTTGTGCCAATTCTTTTCTGGCCTGAAATGTTTTTGTTGAGACGGTATCTGACAGTCTTATAGGAGTTCTCTTATTGGCAACTATCTGTATTTCTCTTGCTGCTTTTGAGATCCCCTCTTTGTTTTCAGTCTTTGCCACTGCAATTATGATGTAGGTCTCTTTGGGTTCATTTTTGGGGGGACTCTGTGCTGCTTTTATGTGTTTTTTCTCCTCAACAGGTTAGGAAACTTTTCAGCCATTCTTACTTCAAATGAGTTTATAATTTTTTTTGCTCTCTCTGTTCTTCTTCTGGTACCTTTATGATGTGGATGTTGCTATGCTTCATGCTTATCCCAGAAGTCCCTTAAACTGACACTCTTAAAAAAAACAATTCTTTTCTCTTTTTGCTTCTTTAATTGGGAGTTTTCTACTACTTTGTCTTCTAAATCAATAATTTGATTCTCTGCTACATCTAATCTGTTCTTGATTTCTTCTAGGGTATTTAATTCATTTATTGTGTTCTTTACTTCTGTGTTTTTTTTTTTTTTGTAGTTTTTTATGCTTGCTATCTATTTGATGAAATTCTCACTATGTTCCTTGTGCATCCTTATAACCATTCTCTTGAACTCTATATCTCATAGATATCTTGCCTCCTTGACATTTATTTCATTTCTGGAGTTTTCTCCTATATTTTTTATTTGATGCATGTTTCTTTGTCTCCTCATTTTGGCTGCCTCATTGTACTTATTTCTGTGTGTTAGGTAGATCTGCTATGCCTTCCAGCCTTTTTAGGATGGCTTTATGTAGTAGGTGTCTTGTGAGGCTCAGTGGCACAGACTTTCTGATCACACACACGACATGTCACTAGTGTATGTTATGTGAGCAATCCTTTTGTAGAAAAGTGATTGTTGTTGACTTGTTCATGGATGCAGTTTACCCTTCGGCTGTCTGGCTATGAGCATTGACTCCTACCATAGTGCACCAGCTACTGCACATGTAGACTAACCCCACGTTGGGCAATTCAGACAACCATGGTCTGGTGCATTCCAAGATCTCCATTTGAGTGTTCTGCTTGTAAAGCTAATTGTGTAATACTCTGAAGACTCCAACTTGGTGTGTTGATTATGAAGCCTCTTGGGATCAACTCTGGTGCAAGTCAATTTCAGGCACTGCCTTTTACTGGCCCTGGGCTACCTGTGTGGAGCTATAAGATGATCTAGTGTTTGTGGCTGCTTCTGTTGGGCCTGGATGTGCCTAAGAAGATCCAAGCTGCACATCAACACCTCCTTCCACCAACACTGAGCTTAAAGACAGGCGAGCAAAAGGCCCAAGTCACTCAGAGAGCCACCTCCACCTGCTGGTATGTGTTGGGATCAGTCTCTGAAAAACCTTCTGGCTGTATGCAAGTTGCCTGAGGTAAGTTTTCAGTGAGTCATCAGGTAGGTGCAAGTGATGTTCACCACATTGATATAGATTCAAATTTGGCTTTATTGCTGGGTGTGAGGCCACTTGTCAGCAGTTCCAGTTTACACCAATGCCTGGCACCACCAACCAGGTATGCATGGACCTTTGTGGTGAGGTGGGGCTTCATGAAATCATGAGGGTATGGGAAACAGACTTCATCAGTCCCAAAAAGACCAAGATTTTGTCATATTACTAGAGCTCTGTGCACAGGAATGGTAGCCTCACTCCAACCTGCAAGGAAAAAATGACCCATGACCCCAAGCCAGAGCCCCCTAACACTCCCTATGTCTTCTTGGACCTTCTCAAGAGACTTTCTAGAAAGTCTTCACCATGGACCAAGGTAGCTAACTTTTTTGCAGGATGTAAGGTAGCATGGCAGGGAACATGAAGTCAGGATGATGGGTCCAATGCATTCTCCAGAGCAAAATAGACAAAGTTAAAACAGACTCATAGACAACAGAGATCAGATTGATGGTGGCCAGAGGAAAGAAAGTTTAGGGGACTGGGGAAAGAAGGTCAAGGCATTAAGAAGTACAAATTGGGAGTCACAAAATAGTCATGGGGATGTAAAGTGCAACACAAAGAATATAGTCAATAGTATAGTAATAAATATATGTGATGCCAGGGGTTACTTGAGATAGCAGAGGGATCACTTTGTAAATATATGAATGCCTAACCATTATACTGCACAGCAAAATTAATATTAAATGTAAACTGTAACTAAAAATTAAAAAAAATTAAACATGGAATAACTTCTAAAAGCAAAAGCATTTTAAATTTTGATATGCAGAATTTTTATCATATAGGTTGCATAAATTATTTGCAATAAAATCAGTAGTTATCTCTAAAGAAGAAAACTGAGTTTTTAGGTGCATTGACTCAAAGATAGAAAAATTGGAGATACTATTCTCCTTTAAAAGAAAAAGTATATGAGCCCTCCCATTACCTAAAGCATTAAATTATTTTCCCAAAGTCATACTAAATTTATCTGATGGATGGATTTTCTGTTCATTTATCTGACTCAGCATTATAGAATGTACCATCTCTTTTGGTGCCATAAATGCTAGTGATACATCTTTAGAACTTTGGACAGATAATTTAACCTTGGTTTTATTTCTATTATCAGTAAATACAGGGCTAAAGTAAATAATTACTTTTATATCTTCTAGCTATAAAATTATACAGGTATTGTACAAACAATTTGGGCAGCATTACTCATTCTTCACAATTCTACAGTAACTGACAGTTCATTAGTTTCATTCTGCTCCTGTGTTGTGGTTAAATTTGGTTTATATATTTTATGAATTCCATCACTTTTTTGATACCCTCAAAAATCTTAAAGAAAAAATAAATTGTAAAGGCAGCAGGGGAATGGATAGCTTTGTGCGTAGAGAAGAAAGCTCCCTATTTGTTTCTGAAGTACAGTGTTGCATCCTCTGGCTATGGCTGTGGAATGCAAAACCCAGGTGGGAAGACAGGGGAAAACGTATTCAGCATCGGTCTTTTTATGTCTCTGACTCTGCTGGACCAATGTGGATGGGTCCAGGGAATGTGAGGTAGCAAAGAGCCAATGTGCTGTGAATAAGAGCACAAAATTAAGAAGACCCTTTTCGAAATCTTGACAAATTCTTCTTTCCCGAAAAGAAAATGAAGCAGAATTTACAACAAATTCAATAACCTGTTATAATAAAATTAAAGAAAATACAAAAATATTTTTATTAATTAAAGTTATGGCAATTAAACTAAGAGCCAAATGATAAAATGAACAAAAACACTACAGTTCTTTTTAATGAATAAAGTAATAACATTATTTTTAATATCAAACTTTCATCAAAGATTGAAGAAGAAAGAAAGAAACAGAACGTTAGTAAAATGGAAGTAACCAAAAAGATACATCAAGCTGCTGGTGAAGACGGCCATGGATTAATTAAGCCAAGAGATTGTAAACAAACTGATAACCAGCCATTTGCTTTTATGGAAAATGACAATTCTGATAGGTAAGCCTCTGGCAATATTCAACAGTAGGTTACTGTAATTTTTTTACAAAACAAATTCAAATTTGAGCTAATGTTTATAATTAACAAGTTTTATATTTTTACTAGGGAGATTGAATCTTGCCTGGTAATAAGAAAAATAAAAATTAATGAACACTGAGATACTTTGAAGTCATAATAATGAATATTTTATTTAAAAAATAACAATCAGAATTGGCAGATGGGAGGAAAAAGACATTCTCATACACTTTTTTTTTAACTTTTCTTTTCATTGATTCTAAAAAGAGAGCAAGAAACATCGATGAGAGAGAACATCAATTAACTGCCTCCTGCATGCCCCACTGGGGATTTGGCCCACAAGCTGGGCATGTGCATGACCAGGAATCAAACTGGTGACCTCTTGGTGCATGGGTTGATGCTCAACCACTGAGCCACACTGGCTGGCTGTTAGTTATTCTTTTTATTTATTGTTAAATTTTTCTTATAGAAAATTAATTATAAATGCAGAGATTTTATACAAAAAACAATAGCTTTAGATATTGTTTGTATTTTAAGTGTTTATATTTGCCTGAAAGAAATTGTTTGGTTCTTTTCTTTTAGGACCTCAGAAGAAATATGTTCTGAAGAATACAAGGTAATATAAAAAATATATTTTGAAAAATATTATCTATAGTAAAAAAATACATTATACAATGAAAAAATAGAAAACCTTCTGTTTTTGTAGAGACATTGACTTTGAAAAAGTAATTTAGAAACACTGGTTATTGAGAAAGGTACTTTTTTACTGAAATCAGTTCTTTTAAGAATAGCTATGGTTTTGCTTTTATGGAAAGGTGGATATTTATCACCACTGTACATTTAGTATATATTAAATATATTTTGGGGACACTTTGAAAAACAGTATTATTTATTTTTAGGTCAAAGAGAACATTAATTCCATGGATGACCTTGATGACCTAACTCAGTCAACTGAAACAGTTTCAGATCCTTACTCCAACTGTAAAAATTTCATATTGCTAATTGGAGAACTTTGCAAGAATTGTAAAGGTAGCAACTATATATGATATAAAGCCCTTTTGTGTATACTGTAGTAATATATGGATACCTTGTCTAGTTCTGCACCACAGGGGATGTACTGTTGAGCTATTTATCTGGGAAATTCTTTTTGTGTTCAAATAAAATGAGAGCGATCATATGCTCTCAGCCAAAGAGCTACGATAGTTTTCACTGTACTCTACATTGCAACCATAATTATTATATATTTTAAAAATTCAGATCTCATCATGTTTAAGATCCAGCTACTACTTCTCATTGCTTCATGGGTACTTGAGAGAATGGTGGTATTCAAGTGTACCATATCCTGAATGATTTTCTGGCTACTTGTTCTGTCACTTATTGATTGGCTGGTATCGAAACCTCAGAAATTCATTGTGAATTTGTCTATTTCTCTTTGCAGTTCTATCAGTTTTTGCTTCATGTATTTTGAAGCGGTTATTCAGTGTAGGATCATTTAGGATTGTTATACTGGTTATTGACTTGTCATTATGCAGTGACCTTGCTGATTACTGATACTATTTCATTACTCTGAAATCTACTTTGTTTAATATTAATATAGCCACTTTAGCTCAGCTCTTTTGGTTTGGTGTTAGTGGTGTATATCATATTTCTGTGCTTTTAAAAACTTGTCTTTATATTTACAGTGCATTTCTGACAGGTGGCATATGGTTGCACTTTGCATTTACATCCAGCTGGGCAATCTTCTTTTTTATGGGGATTTTAGGCTGACGTTCTAACCACCGAGCCAAACCAGCCATGGTTAACGCTCTGTTTTCTTATAGTATCCATTTGAATTTATTATCTTATTTGTCTTTCTCCTCTACTAAACTCCAAGCTGAATTAGAGCCAGAAGTGTTATCTGCTTTATCTGCAAAGCTAAGTCTCATGTCTTCCACACTCAAGGTACTCAACATACGTTTGTTCAGCATGTGAATGAGTATGAAAACACATGTCTTCTTTATACATGAAAGTGCTCATATATTTCATTTCTATTTTTGTCTCTCTGATGCAGATTCACATAGTTTGTATAAAATCCAGGATGCAGCTTTTTTGTTTAAAAGATCAATGGAACATGGGAAAAATCAATGTGAATTACTTACAAAAGAAGTAAAAATAATAAAAAAGACTGTTAGAAAACTACAGAGGGAGCTATCAGAAACAAGAGAAATAAAATCACAGTTAGAGCATCAAAAAGTAGAATTGGAAAGAGAACTCTCCAATTTGAGGTATTGAACAACTTGGTTTTAAAAAAATATTTGAATATTTAATTTTATTCTACAGATATGCAGCTATGTTTTGAAATTGCTAACTAACCTTTGGGGATTTTGTAAAGAAGAACACTTCTTTAGTATTGTGGAGTATGAAATTCTTGAAAATAACATACCAAGATCTTAACAGTGCATACTTCTACTAATAAGTTAATGTAAATTCTTTCAAATCATCATTTAAATGATTATATAGCCATCCAACATGTGGAAACCTCATTATTTATTTAACAAATTGAATTTTGGTTATTTTCCATTCTGTATTATATTGAAGGGTTCCAGGAATGTTTCTTATATAAATCTGTTCCTATATTTCTGCTTCAGTACCATGAATTAATTCTTTTCTTGTTCAATCACAGTTTACATGTACTGTTATTTTTATTTACTTTCAGATGTACAACATAGTGGCTAGAGAATCATATAGTTTACAAAGTGTTCCCCCTGGTACTTCCAGTACCCACCTGGCACCGTACATAGTCCCTATAATACTATTGACCATATTTCTCATGCTGTACTTTATGAATAAATTCTCTTATGTATTTTTTCTTTATTGATTTTAGAGAGAGAGGATGGGAGAGGGAAAGAGAGAGAGAAACATTAATGAGAGAAAACATCAATTGGCTGCCTCATGCATTACCCCACTGGGGATTGGGCCCACAACCCAGGCATGTGCCCTGACTAAGAATCAAACCTGGAATCTTTTAGTTCATGGATTGATGCTCAGCCACTGAGCCACACTGGCCAGGCTGAACAAATTCATTCATAAAGTGTTATTTGGTTAGAGTAGAATATTTCAAAAACTCCTTTGATTTATATTACTAAATTGTTCTCAAGAAAGTTCATATTAATCTACATTCCCACCAACACTGTATAAAATGGCCATTTTTCTCAACAGCAAATTTTTATGAAAGTTTATGCAGTTTTAGTCTTACAGAATAAAAAATAAGACAGAAGGTGATAATTGATTAGTTTATTCTCTTAGAAATAGATCAAATTAATTCCAAGGTCTGAAAGCACATATTATTGACTTAATGAATATGGATCTTGTCTTGTTCCAAAAGGGATTTTTACAATTGGTTTTATTGGGGTGATGTTGGTTAATAAAATTTTATAGGTACATTATAGTGTGTTCACCACCCCAAATTAAGACTTTTTTCATCACCATTTATCCCCTCTTTACCTTCTGCCTCCCCCAGTCATCTGGTACCTCCATGTTGTTTGTGTCTATGATGTTTTATTTTTGGTTAAATCCCTTCAATGGAACGTGGGAAAAATCCAACAAGCCCCATAGTCCCCTTCTCCTCTGATAGCTGTCTGTCTGTTTTTTGCATTTATGAGTCTTTTTATATTTTTATTATTAATTTATTTTGTTCATTAGATTCCACATATGAGAGAAATACATTAGGTAATAATGAACAAGATAAGTTGAAAGTGTTACAAAGAAGAAACATAGCCCTGGCCAGTTTGGCTCAGCAATTAGAACATCAGCCTGTGGTCCAGAGAGACCCGAGTTTGGTTCTCACTAAGGGCATATCCTGCTAAAATACATATCTTGATTGCAGTGTGTCCCCAGCCCTGGTTGAGTTGTGCGGGTGGCAACCACTTGATGTGTCCCTTTCATGTCAATCTCTCTCTCTCTCTCTTTCCCTCTCACTCTATCTGAACAAAAACAACAACAGCAACAAAAAAGTAAAAAACATAAAAAGTATAGGAGAACAAACATTAGACTTTCTAGACTAGCTTTGTGTTACAGTGGGCCTCAGCTATGTCTTGTGTCAGAGAACCTGCACATGCTGACTTCCACTAGAAATCATTTTTAGGAATACTTAGAATATTCTGGAAACTAAAATTGTACTTCTAGTGAATTTATAAAATTGTTTATAAACAACAACTTCTCATTCTAATTAGTAACTAAATCATATGTCATAATGGAAGAGTAATAAGGTCTGTGGAAAGAAGGATAATTTTTACTCTACCTTTAATGAATAATTCCAAAATCCATTACAACAATATTTACCAGAGTTACTACTGAGTAAAACATACCAGAAAATGTTTTCTCATTGCTGCCTTTCAGGTGTGTGTGTGTGTGTGTGTCTTTTGGAAGAGATTGATGTGAGAAATAAAAACATGAGACCTTGAAAGGAAAAAATTGGAGAACATAGAAATATTTATAAGAATAATAAACCAACATATGTGATACGTAGAACCCAATCATAAAATGAACTTTTTATTTCTAACAAAATGTATTTTAAGATAAGTGTATTTAACTGCAGATTAACCTTACAAGAAGAAAAAGAGAAAAGACAAAAAGCTGATCTATTGTCTGAAAACACTAAGAAGCAGTTAATAAAAAAAGAAGAAGAATTTATTAAAGAGACTGAAAAGAAGAGAGAACTTGAAACCACTGTTGAAACACTAGAGTTGACAGTGAAGACTTTATTAGAGAATTCAGATCAGGTAAATTTAAGTTTGGCAAAAATTTTTTATTTCTAATAGTTTTTTATTTATATTTGTAATCTCCCTTTGGTTTAATGTACATTGCTAGGTTTAAAACAAAGCAAAAAAAATGTTATCTCATTCAAAATAACTGTGACCATTATGACAAATTATTATTACTATTCTTGGCATCTACATGATGCTCTAAGTTTTCTAAATGAATAAATTAAAAGTAAATTGAGCTTACCATTAACATAAATGTTAATTTTGGCTTTTTAAATGTTAACATACAAGCTAAATTTTTTTGAGACTGTGATGAAACTAGTGAAATATTCATAAATAAATTTTATTTTACAATTCTGTATTTTTTTTTCTATTTCAAATTTAGCTGTTATTTAACTTAAAATTTAAGTTTTTTATGTGTGATAAACACCCTTGTGCCTAAAAAGGCTACTTTCTTTTGACAGTTTTTTAAAGGTTCTGTTCTTAAGCTTTGGACATTTTAAAAAATAATATGAGACCAAAAACTGAATAAAATGTCTCCCTAGATTGTAGAACAGCAAAATAAATCTCAGAGGCAATTTTTTCAAGAACAGAATGCCAGAAAATTACAAGATGAAAATCTGATCAATCTCCTTTGCAAACAAACAGAGATAGAAAATGCTTACAAGGAAATAAAGTATTTTATTTAGTCATTTTCAAGAATGTGTGTATATATATTAAGAAAGTCAATACTGTGGATAGATAATTTTAAAAGTATATGTCTATGTGCGTGTGTGTGTGTGTTTGTGTGTGTGTGTGTGTGTGTTTATGTGTATGTTTAGAGAGTGATATAGGGGTGGCAATTTTGGTCCATTGGATAAAATGATACTCTTTAAAAAAAAAATTTTTATTGATTTTTAGAGAGAGAAGAAAGGACAGGGAGAGAGTAATAGAAACATCAATGAGAGAGAACATCAACTAGCTGCCTTCTGCATGCCCCTCACTGGGGAATGGGTCCACAACCTGGGCATGTGCCCCGACCAGGAATCGAACTGACAATGTCTTAGTGCATGGGCCGATGTTCAGCCGCTTAGCCACACCAGCTGGGTATTCTTAATTCAAATCCATTAGTCTGCAACAGTCTAGTAGTGACATTCACAATGGCCTCATCCAAAAGGGAGGCTTTTAATATTTTTGATAGAAATTGATGAGTTTCCATGATCTCAAAGGCACTGCTACTAACAACAGATGTTCTAGTTATTGGCAATGATTTCATTTCCTTGATATATTAATAGAGGGTTTTTTACTTCTGCTGATGGGAAGGAGAAAAATATAGCCAGTTCATAGATTATATTTTAGATGCCATTCATTTACTTTTGAGAAAAGTAACAGTTTTCTCTAAGTAGTATCCCATTTTAATACAAGGAGCTTATGAAGACAGTGATATGCCATAAAGTGTACTTGGTGATAATACGCTGATACGTGTTTTATTCCAACTAAAATAGTTCATTGTATTTTCCCCCATTTCACTTTTTTTTTACTTTAAACATCATGAAGAGAAAATAAATGTTATTGCAGCAACAAATTATCTCATGAATTTCTAAGAAAAGCTCTATGAATTGTGCCTTATTTTCCATTTGTTTTTTGAAATATAAGGTTTCTTCTGGGCTTGTATGCTCACACTGGAGAACAACTGTGGATTGGTGCCAGGCTAATTGTGGAACCTGAAAACCTGGGAAATCTTGAACTTGCTTATCCTTTTAACCTCTCTGTTCCAGATTGCGATAACAAAATAAGTTCATTCTTGTGTATAGAAGTGCTTAGAACAATGCCAACATTATCAGTCATCAGTAGAGTTAGTTTTTGTTACTGACCATGAAAATATTAGAAAAGTTGAATATATTTGGAATATTTTCATAAAAAAAATAAGAGGAAATTTAATTTATTTTAATACATGCAGTGTTAATACTCTCACTGTGGGGTAGCTATATATTCAGACAGTAAACTCAGTTTTTAAGTGCATGCAGAGTTATTAATTTTTTATTTATGCATTCTGGGTTTTGGTTGATTTGGAAAAAGGCATTTCCAATTCTGAGACTCTCAAAAATTCTCTGCTGCTTTTTTGTGTACTTTCAAGAATGAATAGACTTATATTAAATTTTTGAACTTTTGAGAACTTATGCTTGCATAAAGTTAGTTTTAGTTCCCTTTTTTAGAAGGATACTCATTTCAACCTTTTTATTGGGTAAACATAGATTATTGTTTAATTTCAGAGGGTTTATGAAATGTCATTTTGTTGAGTGCTAGCTACAAGTCTCTCATTTACTTAGGTTTCTTTTTATTTAAAATATTTTTTTAGTTACAGTTTACACTCAATATTATTTTGTATTCATTTCAGCTATTCAGCATAGTGGTTAGACAATCATATACTTTACAGAGTATTTCCTCCTCTGACATTTCCAGTACCCACCTTGTGTCATACATAGTTATTACAGTATTATTGAGTATATTCCCTATGCTGTACTTTACATCCCATGACTATTTTGTAACTACCAATCTGTACTTCTCAATCCTTTCACCTTTTCACCCAGTCCACCAACCCCCCTTTCCTCTGGCCACCACCAGTCTGTTCTCTGGATCTATGAGTCTGTTTCTGGTTGTTTTTGCTGTTCTTTTCTATTGCCCCTTATGAAATCCTGTGGTATTTGTCTTTATTTATCTAATTTCCCTTAGCATAGTACCTTCTAGGCCTATTCATGTTGTTGCAAATTGTGCTATTTCATTTCCTTTATGGTCGAGTAACATGCAACTTTATCCACTTTTCTCTTGATGGGCACTTGGGCTGCTCCCACAGCTTAGCTATTGTAAATAACACTGCAGTGAATGTAGGGGTGCATATATTCTTTTAACTTTGTCTTTTGGTTTCTTTGTCTATATAGCCAGAAGTGGAATTGCTGAGTCATAAGGCAGTTGCATTTTTAATTCTTTTTGGAGCCTCCATACTGTTTTCCACAGTGGCTGCACCAATCTGCAGTGCATGAGAGTTCCCTTTTTTCCACATTTAAGTTTCACAATTCCAAACCTAGAGTGTGTGCTGCAGAGGAACAGTGAGGTGTAACATCAAGATGAGATGGTGTTACCTTCCCCTACAAACAAGCCTGAGGTGAGGTAGAGGAGAAATTGTAAATAGTGTCAAAGGGCAGTGCTACACTTGTTTCACTACTGAGATTTTAAATGAACTGTAATGTATCCTGTTTCCTCCCTGAAGAAAGGCAAGTGGAGATCAAGTATTAGGTTGATTTATACAGATTCAAAGCTTCCTATCTCTTTTAGAATTTCACTTTATTAAAATCTGGTAAAAGGTCTGATTTTGGTTATTAAATTGACTATTTGTAGTTGTTTTTCAACTATTACACTTCAAATCTATGGTTCTCATGAGTCCTCCTTACTCCCCTAAATTACGGAAAAATTATAAAGATGTATACCTGCCTGTTTGTAATTGATGGCAGTCATAGAAAAACTGCTTATGTCTTTCTCCTAGTTATTTGCCTCTTCTCATAAGCATTGTTTGTCATTAGTAATTTAACCTCAACAGTCATTAGATCCCACTTTAAAGGAGATTACAGGCAAACCTTAGAAATATTGCAGGTTTGGTTCTAGACCATCGTGATCATGTGAGTGTCACAACAAAGGAGTCACACCACTTTTGGTTTCCTGTGCACATAAAAATTGTGTTTGCACTACACTGTAGTCTATTAAGTGTGCACTAGCATTATATCCAAGAAAACGCTGTAGATACAAATCATTTTGAGATGACCTATTCACCTTGGGCTTCTTGGAACATACCTTTAAAGTTATTTTTCTTTTTTCCTTTTTAAATTTTATTTCAATTTTATTTTACCTTCTATATTGCCTGTGCTGTATGTCTTTAAATTTTGTATATTCTGAAGATTCTTAGAGGAATTTGAGGCACCACCTGAAATCATCCTGAGGTCTTAAGGGTTTGAAGTCTGAGCTTCATCCTTAGGCAATGTATTCCTGGAAGCACCATGGATTTGATGAATTTGATGTTAGCCAAGAAGCCATTATTTATTTTAGCATTATTTGACTATTGGGGGTGTGGGAGAAGCAATAAACAGAAAGTAGATATTGAAACCATTGGGTTTGTATCTTTCATATTGATGTTTCTCCCCCCGCACCCCATTTTACCTCATAATAAAAAGAAAAATGTCCTTGGGTAAGAATCTTTTAAAAAGAATTGATTTTTGTGATTCCTGGTGGTTCTAACATTGTTCTTATTCTGAAGAATTCATTGTTCCACATTTTAGAACTCTGCTCCAGGACAGATAACTTTTTATTACAACTAAATTTATTTCAGAACTTGATAATGGTATTGAATTGGACTGTTCTCAGTCAACACCTTCATAACCAACCTACATTATTTTATTCACACAGAATGATTACCTTAGAGATAAACTGGAAGCTGTGTCTTCAAACTGCCCGTACCTGGAAAAAGAAAATAAATCTCTTCAACAAGAATTATTAACTATGAAAGCAATGGAAATGCAATGTAAAATGCTAGAGGATGAAAACAAAAAGTTGAATGAAAAAGTAATAAACCTCAGAAGACATATGAAAACAAACATGGTAGAACACAGTGAACTAGAACACTACAAACAGGCTGAAAAAAGAGCCAGACAGGATGCAGCAGAACATTTACAGCAAGTCAAATCCCTCATGCAGGTTAATTTATTGACCTTAAATGGGCTTTAGTTCATTTTACTGTAATTACATTTATATATACAGTGTTTGTGTTTCCTCTACTTCCTTTAATAGCAACTTGTATTGTAGATTTCTGGCAGGAAGGTGGCATTTCTTTTTCTCTTTCAGTGTTTCAGCTTCCACCATTATTATCACTAAATTGATCTTTCAGAATTATTCTTACTGGAGGATCATTGTATTTTTAACAACAGTTAATTTAAACAAGACTATTAGGAAGAAGAGAAAAAGTATGATATAAAAATTGTATAACTTTTGAAATCTTAAACCGAATCTATTATTATTTGAATTATCAGATTACATGAGTACTAGTAGAAGAATGATTCAACTTTATAACTCAGATTCAGTTCAGTTGATGTTGATGAGTTGTGGGTTGGATTCTGGTCGAGGGCACATACCTCAGTTGCTATTCATCCCCAACCCAGCCCTGGTCAGGTTGTGCAGAAGGCAACCAGTCAATGTGGCTCTATCACATCGATGTTTCTCTCTTTCTTTCTCCCTCCCTCTCACTCTATCTGATAATAAGTAGAAAAATGTCCATGGGTGAGGAATAAAAAAAAAATGTATCCTTTTATTTGGTTTAGATACACAGAGAATCTCAAGAACATAATTTTTCAGTACAAAGTCATTTGGAACTTCGAAATAAAGAACTGGAGTCAGAACTCCTCAAAATGCAAAGTTCTCTACATTTCAACAACACAAAAATGGAAAACTACGTGGCACTGTACCAAGAAGAATCAGAAAAAAGAAGGTTATTGGAAAATGAACTAAATGAGTAAGTCAAAATGGAGAACCAGAGAAATAACTTATTAATTAGCCTCTAAAGCATGCTTTTTATCAAGCTAGGTTAATGAGATTAGTAGGGCATGAACATTAACTAAAAAGTATAACTGTGGAAAACAATGTTAGTCAATAAACTTACCTTTCTGGTGTTCCTCCAGGACAGTTTGCATCTCTCCTCATTTTTGGTGTTATGTGCCTCTATTTACTTCCCCTTAATGTTCCCATGTAGTTAACTTAATACCCTAGTCTTTAAGCTAGGGATTTTATACTTTAGACAGCAATATTATTAAAAAATTGTTTGTCAGCCTTCCCCTAACTACAAATATTTAAGACAACAACTGAAAGACAAAAGATTAAGTTACTCGAACACATTCTGGCACTTGGCAAATTTTCTTTCCTGGTTGTGGTCTTTGTTATTATTACAACACGGTGGCTTTAGATAAACTATCTTTATAGTTTTTCTACTCTACATAAAGGCATGTATGTTTATTAGGGAAAGATTAACATGAGGGTGAAGGGCAGTATCGCTGACAAAGTGGCTAAAAAGAATGAGGTATCTGAGGAGGGGAAGACTGAAAGGGCAAATCCCACCTCCATGCCTCGGTAACAGTGTCCTCAGCTGATGGCCTCGGGAGCTCTATTGGTCCATTTTGAGCACCAGCGAGGTTGTCTTGTTCTTCCTCAGAGGCTGTTGCTCTGGGTCTACAGGATGCCTTGGTGTCAGGCGGTTAATATCTCCAAGGTAATAAGTGTGTGTGTTGGACAAGGGTGGTGAAAGCAAATGCTTGACAGTGTTCTGAAGGGATCTTTTTTCCTTCTTTTTTTTAAAATCTCTAAACTGGTTTACTAAACATGTCCAAGGTCATTCTCAAGAATCTTGTAAGCACAGTCCTTCCAGAAGACAGCAGGTATTACCATATAAGCCATCTATATCACTGACAGCCATTTCTCTCCCTCCCTGCTTTAAATTACTTGTTAGTTAGAAATCAGCCCCCATTAAAAACACAAGTACTACTTTGCATCAATTCAGAACCTATGCTTATGTAGTAGGTTTGCTTTGACATTTTTTTGGTGTTAAAAGGCTTTTTAAGGGGAAATGCCACTTACTATTATGCCAACTAAAAAAAATGCATGTCTGCTTAAGGAAAAATGAATACTAAGCACTTTTGTTTTATAATCATCACAGGACTATAAATAAGATGGTTCAGGTCCGTACTGAACTCTTCCAGCTGACAGAGAAGTACTGTGATTTACTCAGCACCATTCAGACGAGACCAGTCCTGCAGACACCTTGTGCTGTCAATACTAATTCTAACTCTAATACTAGCTTCATGCCCAGTACACAACGTAATCCAAGTACGTTGATTTTTCCTACCATGGAAGAAATGAAGAAGGTTAGTCATATTTTCTTTTTTTCTTCTGAATTTCAGATTTCTGACAAAATTCTTATGTCTAATTTGGTAAAATTCTGAGTTACTTAACTGACCAGTGCACACTTAATTATTTGTGCTAATATAGAAAGGAGACAAAAATTTTTCAAATTCTTTTAAGTCCCTGGATATCTCTTTTCAAGAGACACCTATCATTAACTTTAATCAATCTGTATGACTGAAGTGACACACATTAAATTTTCTTTCAAAGCTGCTTTACAATTTGATTTTAGAAATTAAATATTAATGCCTAATACTAATGGTATATTTGGAGATGCTTTGGCTTATTTTCTGATGGATTTCAGTTTGGTGATGGTTCATGACAATTTTGAGGTAGTGCCACACCCCGATTTTTCTACCCCTAAGTGTAAATGAATGATTGACATCTAAACACTTACCATATATAAATGTGTGTTATTTAAATAAAAGTGAGATCAATCCTTAGTATGCATTAATCAACCTATAGCCTTAAAAGAAGTAATTTTTGTCTTCAAGAAATAATTTTCTTTATCTTTTTACATGAGATAATGTGCTCAATTGTCTTATTGCAGTATTATGATTTCAATTTTTATAAAATGTCCTCCTGGGCAATTGGACATTTCCTAAATAACTAAATTAAGCAAATGCTTAAATTTTAATTAAAAATTTTTTTTTCTTTATTGAATTTTATAGAGAAAGGAAGGGAGAGGGAGAGAGAGACAGAAACATCGGTAAAAGAGAACATCAATTGGCTGCCTTCTACATGCTCTCCACTAGAGATTTGGCCCACAACCTGGGCATGTGCTCTGACTGGGAATCAAACTTATGACCTCTTGTTGCATATGTCAATGAATAGCCACTGAGCCACATGGGCCAGGCTAATTTAATTTTTATATATAAATTTTTAAAATGAGTCACTTGTGTATGCATCTTTTGGCCTGCACTTCAATGACTGATGACTAAACAGCATGACAGGAATTCTGAAATAGCAACTAGCTGTCACATGTGTCATTGTTAGTAATATGTCCCTTCTTCATCTCAGTTATTGAGTTCCTCACCTCCAGAATTTATGTTTGGTTCTTTTTTCTTTTTTATCCTCACCAGAGGACATTTTTGCATTTATGTTCAGATAGACCTGGAGGGAGAGAGGACAGAAGAGAAAGAGAGAAACATAGATGTGAGACTCATTGACTGGTTGCCACCCATGGGACCCCAACCAGGGCTGGGGACAAACTGCAACCAAGGTACATGCCCTTAGTGGGAACCAAACCTAGGTCTCTCTGGTCCACTCGGTGAGGCTCTAATTGCTGAGCCAAACCGGCCAGGGCTGTTTGGTTGTTTCTTTATAGTTCTCGTCTCTTTGGTAAAGTACTCTTCTGTTCATTACTTTGGTTCCTGAGCTCATTGAACTGCCTTTTGAGTTTCCTTGTATCTTGTTGAGTTTCTTGGTGATTGCTATTTTGATTTTTCTGTTATCTAGATCACAATCTACTGTTACTTTGGGTTTCTTTCTGGAGAATTGTCACTTCTTTCTGTGTTAGTGTCACTGTGGTGGTCATGCTGCTGAATGGGTGGTTCATCTGCTGGCACATTGGAAGTATTGAACACTTTTCTTACTTCAGAAAGTTTTGATTTTTTCAACTCGGCAGGTTGATAATTTAAGTCTTTTGCTTTCCAGTAGATGGTGCTATCTTCGTCTTCTCTTACCTGTGCTACTTAAGCTTGGGGAGAGAATGGGGGTGAGTCAAGGTGTGGAAAACTTAACTTTGAACATGAGAATAGCAGCCTGGGTGAGCAGGATCATGGGTGCTGGTGCTGTATCCAGGACACCTGGGTCTCAGGGCACCACCACCCTGGCCAGGGCAGTGTGGTCAGTTGAGGGAACCAGTTTGTGAGCCCACTGAGCTGCTGCCCCAGTCCCTATGGCCCCTGGCAGCACTGAGCTATGGTCTGGAGTCCGAAGACTTGGCCCTGCTGCTGCCTGTGGTCTGTGGTGTGAGCACCACTGCAGCTGGGAGGGATCTGATTTGGGGCAGTCAGAGTGCTGCTGGGCTGTGGTGTGGGGGCTGCACCCACACTCCTCCTCCACTACTGTGTTTGCTGGGGCTGCAGGTACAGCCTTGGCCTTGGAGAACTGCAGCAATGGTTCTGTCCCTGTGCTTCCCCCATCCTGGCCTCGCTCCACATTCCAATCTGACCTCTTCCCAGGAACTGGTGCATGGACCTACTTTATACTGAGCAGAGGAACCTCTGTTGGATTCTAGATGTCCAACTAGTTGGAGACTTAAGGGGAGATACAAAAGAGTTGTCTCACTTTGCCGTGATGCTGAAGTCACATGCTGAAATACCTATTTCTATTTGTGTACATTGGTATGTGGTTTTGATGAGGTTTGTATGGTTTTCTTAATGCAGAGAAAGTTAGCATAGGCCCATGCTGACTGAGGCTTCATCCTTGTTTTTATTTGGGTTCATTGTAACACATCACAGAAGAGTAAAGCTAAAGATTTTCAGAGAGTATTTTGGCCAAATGAAGTCTGAGTGCTTCCATGTTGTGAAACTGGACTACTGGATACAAAAAGAAAATGAATGTCAAATACTTCTGTGAATTGTTAAGCAAACTTGAAGTGTTCTTCTTTGTTCTCATCAGAAAAACCAGATAATGTCTCATTTACAAGATGAAGATGAAAACATGTAAATGCAGAGGCAGTGAAAGAAAAGATTTATGTGGATTTTTTTCCCCTTTCATTAATATGTTGGGCATAAAAAAGGTGTTTATTTTTTAGTATTCCCAGAAAAATTAAAAAAAAAATGTATTTTAAACTCAATGTTGGTTCCAAGGTATACATAATTCCCTGGTGGGAACAAAATCATTCTATACTTAATAAGAATCAGTATCATGATACAGAGATGGGTTACCAAAATCTCTGCAGAGTGCCTGGGAAGATTTACTATACAGTTTTGTTCACAGAATTATTAAACTTACATAAAGAAGGCACCTTCTAGAGTTGCTGGGAATTTCATTATTGCCACTAGGAAAACATAAACTAATTCTATGAGAGGTGACAGCATGCTGTCTAAAATGATAGAAAGGGGTATGTTTTGGTGTGGGACATTGCAAATCAACAGCCTCTAAAGATTTTTTAAGCTATGAACCTAGAGAGTAAAATGTTAAAACTAGCATTAATTTTGAATTCATCAGTCCCCTTTATTTGCAAGGTTTCAACATTTTGGATATTCCTCCTGTGAAGTTCTCTCTTATTCAGCATTGTTTTACTACCTTAAGGACAATGTTTTGAGTAATCAAGTATCGCTTTAATCTATGATTTCAGTTTTCTCCAGGTTCATAATATTTACATCTGTTGCCTTTTCCACCATTGCATGAAGGGTTGCCTTGCCCACTTGTAGATTAACACTTGTCTGTTTCACTAAATTTACCCTCAGTTTTTCCTTGCTAGTTTAATTCTGGGATGTTTGTCCTAGACATCAGAAGTGATTTTACAGTTTCATTCAACTGTGTTATTTTACAGATTCATTCAACTGCATTATTTAATGATAATATTATAAAAACATATATTACCTGACTGGCATGGCTCAGTCGATTGAGCATGTTCCTATGGACAGGGAGGCCCCAGTTCAGTTTTTTGTTGGGGCACATGCCTGGGTTGCAGACTTGATCCCCAGTATGTGGTAGGTGGGAGGCAGCTGATTAGATATTTTCCTCTCACATGAATGGTTCTATTCCTTTCTCTGTATCTCTCTTCCTCTCTCTCTAAAAAAAATCAATAAAAACATATTTTTTAGAAATTTAAAAATAAAATAAAAATGCTAAAATTAGCTTAAACAGATACATGACTAGATTTTCTGGCACATGGGATTTATTTTAACCAAACACTTAAAAATTATTCCAGACAAATTTTATAACAGATGGAATTTTTCTGATTTCAAATTTTTTTGTGTTCCTAACACAATGCATGGCATGATAGACCCTCTGTGTTCCTTACATCTGTGTTACATAAACAGGAATCCGCAAATTTACATTAATCAATTTTGGACATTTGTACCATTTCTGACACTTTTAGAAACTTTCTTTTTTACATTTCTCAAATGTGTTTTCAGTTTAGCAAATCTTTGTATACAAAGACATGAGAGCTGAAACAGTTAATGTTCCTAAGACTTTAACTCTGTCCATGGCAGACAGAGCACTGTGTCTCAGTGAGATTTTGAGTCATGTTTCTTCCCCAATAAAAACAGGCCTCATGTTTACATCACCAAGGCAGTTCCTTTTCACTCTGTATGTTAGCCCTAATCAAACTATCAGTGTTATGCTAGTTTCTCATTAGGCAGAGACAAGTTTAATAAATGCGTTTGTTGTTTGTTATACACTTGGTATAATTCCTCCTGTCTTCACTTTATTTTGTCCACTTAGACAATAGCCCCATAGTCATTTTATCTTTTGAAGAATACAGATAATTACTCAGTTTCTTCATATTCTTTTTTCATTAATTTTATTCTGTACTTACCTTTTCAGCTCCTTGATCAACAATTTTTTCTTTAATTCCTTTTTCTGCAGCAAAATACAGGTTTTTAATATTTACCAACTGATCACTGTATTTCCTTCACAGACTGAACTATTTACATTTGGATGATGAATTTCAATTGTGTAAATGGGCAAATGTGCTTTATTTTATTGTATTATATTACATTTATTTCTAGAACATTCAAAATGAGCCCTGGCTGGTTTGGCTAAGTGGTTAGAGCATTGGCTTGTAAACCAAAGAGTCACATGTGTGATTCTGGTCAAGGGCACATACTTCAGTTGCAGTTAAGTCTCAGCTCAGGTTGGGGTTGTACATGAGGCAACTAATCGATGTGTCTCTCTCACATCTCTCTCTATCTTTCTCTCTCTCTCTCTCTCTCGCTTCTTTTTTCCCTTTCTCTGTCTTTCCCTTCCTTGTACTATATCTGAAGGTAAATAAAAAAATACCCTCTGGTGAGGATTTGAAAAAGAAATAATATAAGAATCATATCAATTTTAACTTAAAAGTTTTAATAGTTGCCCTTCCAGTGTGGCTCAGTGGTTGAGAATCAACCAATGCTACCAGAGGTTGCCAGTTTGATTCCTGGTCAGGCACATGTCCAGGTTGTGGGCCAAATCACCAATGGGGGGGGGGCATGCAGAAGACAGCCAATCAATGTTCTTACTCATCAATGTTTCTATTTCTCTTTCCCTCTCCATTCCTCTCTCTCTCAAATAAATAAAGAAAAAATTTTCTTAAGTTTTAATAGTTACTAAAAATATATTAAATTTGGAAATAAGTATGTGTGTGCGCTTTGTATGTGTTTATTAAATTACTCTGAAAAGAGAATGCAACATTTCAACCTGTAATCTCACTTTTAATCAAATGGTAGCTGGTCAATAAATTAGTGTTAAATGAGTGAATATATATATACAAAGTTTTACATATTCATTTCCTCTGAGTTATACTTAGAAACCTATGTGCTTATCCTGAATGTGAGGGAGTAGCTGGGACGGAAGCCCAGCCTCAGTAGGAGGACTGAAAGCCCGCTGGTGGCCTGCAGCTGATTGGTTTGTGACCTCAGGCCATCTACAATCTCTTTGAGCTTTGTTGCCTCTTAGGTAAAATTAGAGAATTGGACCAAATCAGTGAATTTTATACCTTAAATATTTTTTCAAACACTAGAATTTTTTCTAGTTTTGCATGAAACTGTCTTACATAAACAGAGGTGACTAGAGCCACGGAGGGGAAGGAGGGGTGGAGCCTCTGAAGCGCTGCAGCCCTGCAGGTGTCCCCAGGGGAAGAGCCTCCTGTGGGACATAGTCAGAGAACCACCAGTTCTGAGGGAATCCTTCCAGTGACAAATCCTTTGAACTGAAAGTTGCTGATACATTGTTTTTATGTGTATAATTTTCTCAACTTTCTATGTTTTTAAAAATGGTATGATTAAATAAAAGTAAGATGTGTTCTTATTAAGATTGGACTTCAAGCTACTTCCACCATCTGAACACAGTCCTCACCTAAAATTAAGCATAAACATCACAGAAATAAATATTTAGGAAAAGAGCTTTTTGGGAAAATATATTAATGTTACATGGGTCATTTCTTAATTCAAGTTGAGTAAAAATGTCATTTACATAATATGTATTTTATGAATGGCAACATACAATTGATTCAATAAAGGCCTTTCCCTTTACCTCGTATTGAGTTATTACAAGGCCTATCTAGTAATTTTGTTGTCACGTTATTCATTCTATAAGACCTGTCTATCATGCTATTGTCAAAAAGGTGTTATGGAAAACAGCCTCTGAAAATACTGGAGAACACTTTAGTTAACAGATTTGTCTTTGTGCCTCAAATTTACAAAGGCATTGGGTATCACATTATCATTATCACCACAGTATTTTATATTCAGTATACTATTTTGAACCCTGTTTCAGGCATTTAGTGAGAACATACTGAGTATCAGAAAGGTTTAAGTCAGAACACTCTAGATTGAAACACCAATAGTACAATTTGAAATATTCCCACAATTTCATAAGTAGACTATAATTAAAATTAGTTGAATGTCCCAAATTTAGCCCTAATTTCTAGAAAGGAAACAAAGTTACAATTAAAGAATTATATATAGATTTTTTTGGTCCTCAAATCAAAGACTTTTTGAAATAGTTGTGTCCATATGACTAAAGAAATGGTTCAATCATAATACAGAAAGCAAAATAGTTTTACTTATTTTTTGCCAGTAAAATTTGTAAATGACCTTATGATAGTTCCAATTTTGTCACTTTAGGTTGAAACGTTAATAGCATAGAACAAAGCTAAGATTTTAATTTTCTCAAAGTATAAGAATAGAAAGCTAATTTTAAGAAAAATCCATTTAAGTAAAAAAAGAAAAAAAAACTTTTATAAAGGGCAAAGAAATGCATTCAGTGAAATATATGATGACTTGTTTTACTGTCTTTGAACCAATGGGATCAAGTTTAACTTTTCTGAATTTATGTTTATTCAGTAGACTAAAGCTAACTGTACTTTTTATCCGATTAATCTAAGTAGTATTACATGTGCATGTTCTCTATTATTTAAAATTAAAATAAGTATGAATTGATTTTATTTGTGTGATTATTCTATTTACATAGTCCTTAAGTTAGGTCTACTCTCTAATAAAAGTGTTATGTAAAGGACACATTTTATAAGCTGTATATCATTCCTATAACAATGTCTCTTGTTTCACTTAAACACTAAAAGTAATGTTTGACTTATTTCATTTGTGGCAGGAGTTTGACAAAAAAGTAGAGGAAGCACTAAAAGACGGTATGTTGCCAAAAGTTATTAATTACATTTAGATATCATTGATGTTTTAAAATAAACTGTAAATAATAAACATCATCCACTTTCATCTTTGGATAATAGATGCTGCATTAAATATTTTCTTATACATAGCCAATAAAAAACGTGACAGCATAGACATTCATAGGGAAGAATACACTTATTCCACAGTTCATCATGTTCCATAGCTTTTTAAAAGCCTCAGAAGTCCACATGTCTTTTTTATTTCTGGCTTTTTCCTTCCTTTTCTCTCCAGGCTCTGTCAGCCTGCACACTGAAACTGCTGCCAGAAAACTGGGCTTCCCCGCTTCTCAGGTTTTCGTGGGGGATAGAAGGCCAACTAACCAGATGC